ACCAGGAATGTTCTGTGTTGATTTTTAATTCAAATCCTTTCTCTCTTTCACCTGAGTCCTCTGTTTGTCCCTTTAGCCTCCTGTCCCCCTTCCAGCCATCCTGCCTGGCCATTCCCTGTTCTCCTGGTGCTCTGCCATCCTCATCCTCAAACCCATTCCCAAAATCTGCTCTCACCTCTGCATCCTTTTCCACCAAAATGCCAAAAATCTGGGTCTGCATGGGGTTTATTTTTAGGTTTGGCTGGTGTTGGGCTCATCCTATTTTTAGCCGGCTTTGTGAAACTTTCTATTTTTAGTGCAAAAGACAAAACAAAAGCAATTGTTATCTAAGCCTGTCTTTCTAATTAATGGGATTGCTGAGCATATAGGCATGAGAATATTTATCCCTCCTGGAGCATTACACATCCTCAGGAAGCCCCAGTCACCCCTTGGACAGACGGAACCAGTTCCAAAAGTTCAAATTTGTGTGTCCCCACAAATGCTCCTGGCCATTCATTGCTCTTCGCTTTTAACCTTAATTTGATTTTCCCCAGGGAAAATACACATCTTTATGCAGGACAGGATGGGGAGTTAGCCCTGGAAATCAGCTTTGCTGTGGCGCTGAGGCCGTGCAGGGCAGCACATCTGATGTTTATCATCTGCACACATAAATCACAAGCTGGATGAGGCCCTCGGAACAGACACAAACTGCAGGGAAAGCCCAAAGGGGCTCAGGGGTTCTGGGTTTGCCCTGTTAACATCTGCAAATGGCTTCCTCTGTGCCAGGGAGCAGGGGAAGGGTTTCAGCTGTGACCTGTGGGGCTCTGCTGCAGATAACAATTGTGCCCTCAGAAATGTCCTGGACCAAAGGCAGGGGCTGTAACCAAAAATGAGCATCCAGGGCTAAGGTGATTTCCTCCTGTGAGAGGTTTTGCCTTGCTTTCTGTAATAAAAATGCAATTCAGATTTGTTTATTTTAAGGCACTTTTAAAATTTAATTCAAACAAATCACTTGGTAGCTGTGCTGGCCTTTTGCAGCCTTTTATGCTGAGCTTTTGACGGCTGATCCTGTGGCTAAAAATATGATTAAAAATCTAATAACAGGCCATTGGATAGATGCTGGAGCACAGCAAAGCATCTCCAGCAACGCCACAAACAGGGAAAAGAGCCTGCCCAGAGACAGACCCTGGACTTGGCAGCTTTTCTAGGAGACCTCAAGGTTTGTGCTGGTTTTTTCCAAGTGCCAAAGGCTTTTCTGCTTCCAACATCCCCTGTTGGGCTTGGGAGAGCCAGGAGGATCCATGGGGAAAACATGGATGGAACTGAGCAGGATCATCCTCATCGCTGGGGAAGGGGCAGCTTGGATCCCGACCTGATGGAGACTCCAGGGGTGCCCTAAATCCCTCACAGGGGTAATTCCACAATCCCTGTGGCTCCACTGCCTTTTCTCTGCCTTCCAGGTCTGACATTGCATTTATTATCCTTTCTTTAATCAGCTGAAAATGCAGCTTTTCCCCCCAGAGTGTGCCCAAGTGCTCCAGCATCCCAGCTTTGCCAGCCCCAAAATGGATTTGGAGCCCAACCATAAATCTGTGTGCAGTCCACACCATTGGAACTGGAAAGGGAAGAAGTCCCAGCATCTTTTATTTTTATTGTTTTTAAGCTGCTGATGGAGCTCTCAGGGGTGTTTTGTACCTGAATGGCCCTGAGGAAACCCCAGAGTGAGAACTGACGCCAATGTCCGCATGGTTATGTAAATGTAATGTTTGTGACATAAAAGCATGTGAGCAGAAATATAGAGAATTAGGGGCATCTAATCTCATCTAAATTAGAGGAATGTCCTATCAGGCATCAATCTTCTGGGGCAGCAGAGCATGGACTGTGGGAGATTTGTCTCCTCATGGCTGAGTCCTGCTCTGTGATAAAGCAAAAGGTTAAAACGTGCTGGGGTTCATTCCATTCCCCCTGAAGAAAATTAATTTTCAGTGACTTTGCTGTAACCCCACCCCAGAGCTGCTGGAGGGAGGGAGGGATGGATGGATGGATGGATGGATGGATGGATGGATGGATGGATGGATGGATGGATGGATGGATGGATGGATGGATGGAAATTGCAGACACTTTGTGTCTCTTTCCCCCCTAAACAGCACCAGAGGGTCCCTGATCTCTCAAAGGAACCAGACAAGAAACCTGAAGGGGATCAGAGCAGCTGTAAATGGAACACACTGAGACCTGGATGAGGATGAGGAGCTGGGGGTGATGGTTCCATCCCTGGGCAGGTGCCTGCACCAGCGTGCCTCAGTTTCCCTCTCCTACAGCAGGGATAATGCCCCTTCCTTCCCTCCCTAAGGATTAACAGTGCTTTTACACCACAGGTGCTGTGCTGCTCTGGCAAGGCTGGCAGCAATTCCAGATTAGCAATCAGTATTTGGCTGTTTCAGGGTGGTGAGTTCTCAGCTGCCCAGCTGGAGCTGGGCTCAATGAGCTGCTCAGAGCCAGGCTGCTTCTGACAAGTGGCAAGACAGGAAGGAAAGGTTGATTTGTTAAAAAAAATATGGATAACAAGAAGGAATACCACAAGGAGGAATTTCAGCTGATTCTGAAAAGTGGAGTTTCTGAAATGCATAGCCTTTAATTTAATAAATTGTATCCTGAGGAGCTGCTGCCTGAGGAAAGTTTGGAGAAGAAGGAGGAGAGGGCAAGGTTATGGTGTATTAATTGCTGTAATTTGGTCCACACCACATTAATGGCTTTGTAATTTGGTCAAGGAAAAACGTGCACATTCTCGGGGGGGCAAAAACCACCTACAAATTATCAAATTATTATTTTTGTATTCCCTGTGTTACTTCCTTCTGATAGAGAGGTAAACCCTAATTATTGACACCAATCTGATCAAGTCACAAGGGTTTTCTACATTGTGTTTAGGTTTGCCCAATAGAGCCCCTAATGGGGCAGTAAATGCAGCAGGGTGTTGATAGGCAGGGATCAATCAGAGGCAAACAGGAGGGGCAGACTCTGGAAAAGCAAAAGTGTTTGTGTCTGTGTTTGTGTTTGTGTTTGTGTTTGTGTTTGTGTTTGTGTTTGTGTTTGTGTTTACCTGGCCCAGGTGTGGCAGGCACAGGGAAGGGTTGGAATGGCAGCTGAGGAGAACCCGGGAAAGCCAAGCGCTGAGGGAATGCATTGGGAACAGGGAAATAAACACAGGGAAACCCTGCGGGAATTTCTGAGCAGCTCTGAACCTTGATCTGCTCTGGCACCATCTCCCTTCTGCAGCTCTCAGGGCAGCGCTTCCCCTGACAAAGCTGGGTCCCTTCTCCCTGCACTCTGCTCTGTTTAATGCAAACAATGGACCCTCGGCACTCCAGAGCTGCAGTGTTTAATTTGGAGCCTCCGTGTTGGTGTTTGCATAGGAAAAGGGATTTATTCAGTGCTGCTGATTGAACAGAAGCAGGGGGGAAAATACCTCCTGCATTCATCAATACTAATTATAGATCACTCTTTAATTGAGCCATCCTAAGTGCACAGTGTACTTATAGTGCCCAGGGAGCAAAAATAGATGGGGCTGATGCAGCAAAGACATATTGTTCTTTCTCCCTCAGCACAATTTCATCTTGGATCATACACAGCAAAGCAAAGGCAGGAGAAATTTCAAACAAACAATTTTCTTTCAAGTTTAAAGAAATCAAAAAATTAAGTTTTGTTATTTTAAACGCACGTACATAATAAAATACAGAGATCAAGTCAAAGCTCATTGATTTTTCTTGGAGGAGGAAGGCAGATAGAATCTCTAAAGGTGAAAAGAAACCCCCAAAGCACTCATTCATTCATGAGAAAAGCTTGTCCTTGATATTTTAACACAAATAATAAAAGGCAGAGAAATAAATAAATCAATCATCCTTCATTTACCAGAGAGAAGAATCAGAGAGCCTGCAGTGCACGTCCTGGTAGTAACAAACAGATCAGAAATCAGAGTAACCTTAAGGTGGGGTGAGAAAGAGCAGGCAAGGACTTACCTACTGCCTCTGTCTTGAGAACGTGCAGGCAGAGCCCAGCAAGGAACAGCAATTCCATTCTCTAGCTTAAATAGGCTCAGTGTTGAAACCAGAATTGATTAGACTCCTCAGGATGTGATCATATTTCTGCTCTCAGTTTTATACTGGAGTAAGTAGTCCAGGACAGACCTGAAAGCCATAGCAGGAAGGTGAACTCCTCCCCTTTGTAATTTCTCCAGATTTGCCCTGCTCCTGATTTGCCTGAAATTATTCATTCTCCAAAGTGGATGGCAAAGGAGAGAGGCTTTCTGGCACTGAGCAAGGAGCCTTCAGTGAATGACTGAGGTTTTGCAGCCTGCACAGGTCCAGCAGCCCAAATAAAATGCTGCATTTTTATTTACTGGGAGTTTTTCTCCTGGCAGCCTCATGACATTCAATTAATACATGTGTTAATGTTTCCTTTAGAAAAAAACCCCAGGGGGACAAATCAAACCCCAGCTCCCCCTCACTTCTACCCCACAGCTCTCCAAACAGGATTGGAGCTGATTTGGGACTGGAAAATGGGAATTCCATGTGCAGCAACAGGAAATGTTAATTAGGTGACATACAACACCTTACGTAGGTAATTAAGCAACAATACATTTTTTAAATAATCCTTTTCCTCAGCTTTCTGCTTCTGCTACTGTAGAATGATAAATACACAGATTTTTGGTTTGGTCCCCTTTATTCTCCCATCTAATTTTTTTTTTTTAATTAAATATGATTCAGGGGCAACTCAGACTTTACATTCAACAAAGAAAAGCGACACAGCTTTATCACAGACACAGCATCATCTCTGGGAGTTTTGGGGCTGGGCTGAGGAATCCAAATGAAGCAAACTCCTTCCCCAAACGTCCCTGGGGGTGCAGAGCTGGGCTGGGAGGAAGAGGAGGATGATGCCCGTGAGGGATGGGCAGAGTGAAGCTCAGCTGATGTTATCCCAGCCCAGCTGAGCTTGCAGACTCATCCAGCAGAGGCTGCATCCCACAGAGAGGAGCTGAGAAATCCCTGCCTGCCCTGCTGCTCCCCCAGAGGGGTCTCAGGGGCTGCAGGCACGCCCGGAGCAGCTCCTCTATTGATAAAAACGCTGGAAATAACATTCCCACAGTGCAGCTCTGCCGGGGAGGGTGATGAGGTGAATAATTCCTGCAGGGAGAACAATGAGGGGTTGGTGGTGTTGTGTCCCTGCAGGGCCAGGGGGATGCTGAGCACGCAGAGCAGCTCCAAGGGCATCCAGGAGAATTCCCCTGGGCTGCTCCTCATCTGGGAGCTGAACCAGCACCTCGGGACTGTCTTCCTGCTCTATTTCTTAAAGTCCTCTGTTCAGGACTGAAAAGCTGAGGGTTCGAAATTCTGGTCTTGAAAATTAGGATCCTTGATTTATTTATTTATTTATTGAGTTTTTTCTTTCTTTCTTATTTTTCTTTTTTTGTTTGTTTATTTGTTTTTGTTTTATTTTGTTCTTTTGGGTTTTTTTCCCCCCTCTCTTCTTTTTGTTTCTAAACCTCCCAGCCTGTCATTACCAAAGTGGTAATAAACTGCAGTGCAGTCACATTAATTAAGCCTTCATTTGAGCTCAGAAGTGAAGGCACGCTCAGGCAAAGGCTTTCCCTTTCCTTCCAAAGCCTGGCATCTAAATAAGCAGGGCTGGCATAATTTGAGCTCCTCATTTTTATATATTTATTTTCCTAAGGAAATTCCACTGACAGGTCCTTGGATATCAGTTCTTGATGGCATTGCTGCACTTCAGGATATTCTGATTCCTTTTTAAAGCCAAAACTGAGATGCCAGAATGCCATGGAGAACTGGGTGCATTTTACACAGAGATTTTTGGATACTGAGCCTGAAGATGTGAGAGCATCTTGGTCAGAGGAGGAGACACAAAGTAAAGCAGCTCTCTGAATTCCAGGCTGTGTACAGGGAAGGGAAGGACAGCTGGGAATATCAAATCCAGTAAAAGCTGCGCTTATTTCGTGGCCTGGAGAGGGACAGCAGCAAGGCTGAGGGGGAGACTGGCTGGAGGCCAAACCCTGGGCAGAGCTGAGCTGACCCAGCAGGGATTGCCCAGGGATTTAAACCCCAGATGGGTTCCAGGATTAGCGAGTGGGTGATTGGGAATCCCACCCTGCAGGGTGAGAAAACGCAGAGTGCTCCTCATGACTGTGGTTTTATTGCTGAGAGTTCCCAGGACTCTGAGGAGGAAATCTGGAATTTCAGAGCTCTGGGTGAAGCACAAACATTGCAGCTTCATCTTCCATGTGCAAACGTGGGCTGGCTCTGGCTGTGCTGGGAATGCTGTCCCAGCACAAGGTGGGACACTGGGATGGGTTGTGCCTCCCTCACACCCAGCTGACCCTGGACAGGCTTTGTTTGCCTCTCACCTGGCTCCAGGTGTTTGTCTCCCATCTCTCCAAACCTGGGAGGCAAAAATTCCTCCAAGAGAGAGAGGCTGGACAGGGGAGGAGCAGAGCTTTGTGTTTTCAAAACAGCTCCAAAAAATCTTGGACGGAGATCACACACCCTGTTTGTGTCTCCCTCTCCAGAAAGGAAGGCTTTAATCTGCATTAATTGAAACATACATTGGATAAATAGGCTCCTTATTTGTATCACTCCCTTTCCTGAGTGTTTCTTCCTTGCAGGCCTCGTGATGGCCACGGAGAGCAGGGCAGAGGGACACTGTGATCCCACAGCCCTGCTGAGGGCCCTGGCACTGAAACTGGGATTCATGGCATGATCCTGCTGAGCTGCTCAGGCCTCTTGGCAAGTTTTGGCCCAGGTTTGGTGTCTGCGGGGTGGTGACAGTGCAGAGCTGAGTGCAGGGACAACAGGGAGAAAGCAGAACCATCCCAATCCCCAGGATTTGGGGTCAGGAATGGAGAATGTGACAGGACACTGAAACCCCCCATCCTTTCTGGACTGTCCTGCGTGCACACTGAAATAGAGATGTTTGGAGTTCACTTGAGTTAGCAATGTGAATTAAGCATTTAAAGTCTCCTCCCTGAGCTGTGGCACTCCTGTTTCATCACAAGGATGCGGTTTTTCCCTGGAATCCCTGGCACAGCTCCAGTTCCAGCTCAGAGGACACGGGGCTGCAGTGCCTCACCCCAGGGTGAGGGTGGGAGCTGTCCAAGGGCTCCTGGGCAGGGCTGGGCTCAGCTCCTGCATTAATTCCTGTTTTGGGATCAATTTTGGTGTGTCCCAGCTGGGCCCTGTCCTTCTGAGCCCTTGTGGGTCCCACTGGAGGCTGAGAGCTGCAGCTGAGGGCAGTTCTGAGCCTGTGAGATCAGCTGGGTGAACTTGGATTTTCCACACCTGAACCATCACTAAAAATTCAGCCTGAAGCCTCTCCAGTGTGGTCAGTGGTTATTGTCTTCCCCACAGGCACAATCAACAGATAATTCCACAAAATGAGGCCATTTCTTACACATACATCAAAATAAATTGGGCATCCAGGTAAAGACGTGTCAATACAATCACAGAACTCAAAGAAAAGCAATCACAGAACTAAAAACAAAGTGTTACAGAAGGTGAAATCTGGGTAAATATAAACCTAAGGCTGCCCACAGCAAGGTGCAGCGTCCAAGGTGTCAGCCCGAGATCCTGGAGATTAGATTGAGTTGCCTGGAATCCTGTGTCACCTTAAACAAACAATGGGATTGTTCTTTCCCCATTTATAGGATGCAGATAACAATTCCTCACAAGGGTATGGTGAGGTAAGCACGGGGAATGCTGCACAGTTCCTGGAATACAGGAATACAAAAACGCCCTTGGATTGAGGTTGTTCCATGAAAAGGTTGGGCTTTAGATTTAAAGTGTTTTTCATCTGGTTTTGGGGGCTCCAGCTGCATCACAGAGGGCTGGAATGTACAAATCTGGGGGTTTCTGTGTGTTAAACCCACTAAAAAGCAGCTTCCACACTATTGTCTCCCTTAATCCAGCAACATGATGGTAATTTGTATGCAATTCTATTAGGGAAATCAGATTACAAATCTTTTGTGGAGAGCTATTTATACCACTTGATATTACTTTAATTACATTCTGATCTCACAACGCTTAGCATTTTGCGCTCGAGCACCGAATTTTCAAATTAGAGCAACTTCAAGCAGCATTTTCAGGAATATCTAGAGCCCTTTGGAGCCCAAATTCACAGATAAATTATTTTTAGCCACCGGGGTGTTTTCAAAACCGTTTTGCTCTGTGGATGTTGTGCTCATCACAGGTGTCCTGTGCCCACCTGGGCTGTGCTGCCACTGCTGCTGGGAGGGAAAGGATTTGCTGGGCTGGCTCAGGGGTGGCAGAAATAGTGGGGCCCTTGTTCAGCAGCAACCTCACACCCGAGGTGTGGCTGCCAGGGCTGGGATTACAAAGGGAGTTTTATCTGGGACACTGGGAGAGGAATATTTTATAGGGTGTTAATACAGCCCCAGGCTTGACTGGTCAATTCTCAGCCTTTATTTCTATGTTATCACTCCCTTGTGACCATCTGAAATGCTTATTGCTTACTTAGACTTGTATAAAATATAATAATCACAATTAAAAAGTGCATTAATTAATTATAAAGTATTTCTGGTACACAAAAATTGTGGATGGTAACCGCAGGTTAAACTGAATATACTTTCATACACTACAATAGAAAAAAAAAAGCCCTAGAATTCCCCTTTTTAGACTCAAAATGATAGCCTAAATTTCTTACATTTTAACTTTGGGAGAGCTATCAGAGTTCACAGATGCCCATCTCTGGGGCTGGAATTGCTGCTGTAAGATCAGTGCTGAATGTGGGAGCCCATCAATTCAACTGAGCTGCTTGGCAAGGCCGTGGTAGAAAATTGTGAACAACAAAGGTGAATCCTTTGTTAAGGCAACAATAAAATACGAATTGAATCAGAATAAATAATGTGGATAAATGGATAATTTACCTGGATAATTGTCCTGCTCATCTGGTCTGCTTAGCTGGTAAAAATCTCCCTGCTGCCTCTGTACCCTGTATTTTATCCCAGCAGTGCCCTCTGCTGAGAGCATGGAATGTGTGTCCCCAGAGCTTTTTCCTCCCCCAGCTCTCCGGTATTTTCAGTCTAAGTTCTCAAAAACCATTTGCATTTAAAAAGATGGAGAAAGAGAAGCTACACCTGGTGTTGGTACTGATTTGTTAATGACCAAGCCCCATGAAATAAACAGAAAATATCCTGTGGCAAAGGCAGGGGTAATGGTATTGGCTGTTTTAGCTGTGTTATCATGAAAGGATTAAGTGGGAAAAGGCATTTCTTGTCTGTTGGGGTCCAGGCTGGAGACACAGCACTGATGTTTTATTTCAGCTCCCTCAGCCCTCCAAACCCACAAAACTCTGCTCTTCCTTTCCTGCCTCTCTAATCCTTTATGATGCAATTAATTTGTGAGTAACAGCTGGGTTCACTTCACTCCATTTGAGAACATCCCTGAAGAATTTTAAACTGCAGGCGTCACCACCCATCTCCCCAAGCCCTGGACAGGCTTTGCTCTTGTCAAAGGTTGCTTCCAGCAGCTCATGCGTGTGGGAAATGTGCTCTGCAGTTTGGGCTATCCTAGCAACTCCTGGGGATCGGCACAGCCCCCAGCTGGCAACCCAAATATTAAAAAACACAGCTGGTTAAAGTTTAACCCCCGTGCCGACGATGATGTGGCAGCAGAAGCTGTGTGTCAGGAGAGGATCCGCGCCTGGGGATCGGGGTGGGAGCTCCTGGGAGAATGGGATGAGCAGAGCCGGCTCAAAGGAGCATTCCCCACCATGAATGGGTTCCTGAACTGCTCTGCCAACCACACCAAGATCTGGAGTCACTACTTGGTGCTGGCCCTGGGCATCCCCCAGCTGACCATCAACGTCGTCTCCATCATCTTCAACTGTACCGTCATCTTCACCCGCCTGGCCACCAGGGACCTGCACAAGCCCATCTCCATCCTCTTCTGCAACCTGGCTGTCTCCGACCTCTTCACCAGCTTCTCTGGCTTCTGGATTTCCATGCTGTTCATCACCTACCCTGACATCACCATCTTTGGCTCCCAGGACATGCTGGCTCCCTACTCCCTGTACACCACCTCCATCCTGTCCACCATCTACAACCTGGTGAGCATTGGCATTGAGCGCTACCTGGCCGTGGCCGAGAGCATGAGGACGAGGTTCAGGGTGGCCAGGAACCACTCCGTTGCCGTGGTCTTCATCAACTGGGTCCTGGCCTTCTTCCTGGGCTGCCTGCCCCTGATGGGCTGGAACTGCCTGCATGCACAGAGCAACATCTCGGTGCTCTACAGCCCCTTCTGCGTCAACTACCTTGTCTTCATCGCCATGCCCAACGTGGCCATGGCCTTCCTCGTGCCCCTCTTCACCTACCTGAGGATCATCATCATCCTGAGGAAGAGGAAGCTGAGGATGCAGGCGTGCGGCCAAGCCATGGGCACCTACAGGTCGGCAGAGACGCAGGTGGCCAGGACCAGCATCTCCATCTGGCTGCTGGCCCTGGTGTCCTACGCGCCCTTCCTGGCCGGCGTCATCTTCGACGCGGCCAACCAGCGCTGCCACGGCGAGCTGTACCCGGGGGTGTACATCTTCAGGAACTGCACGGCCATGCTGATCACCCTCACCTGCCTGGGCAACCCCCTGCTCTACACGCTGCGGCTCCGGGCGCTGGGGGCCCGGCTGAAGGCGCTGCGCGGCCTCTGGGCCTCGCGCGTGAGGGCCTGCGCTGTCGGCCATGTCTGAGCAAACCCACCCACCCCATCCCAGGGTGGTGTATTGTGATAAATGAGTGATGTTGTGGTGGACTCTCACAGTTAATAGACAAATATCATGTGTATAGGTTGAGAAAAGTTGTATAGATTTATAGTTGTGTTGTGCATGGCCTCTGGGCCTCACGTGTGAGGGCCTGTGCTGCCATCGGCTGTGTCTGAGCAAACCCACCCACCCCATCCCAGGGTGATGTGTTGTGATAAATGAGGAATGTCGTGGTGGACTCTCACAATTAACAGACAAATGTCATGTGCATAGGTTGAGAAAAGGTGTAGAGATTTATAGTTGTGTTGTGCATGGCCTCTGGGCCTCACACATGTGGGCCTACAGCACTGTCGGCCATGTCTGAGCAAACCCACCCACCCCATTGCAGGGTGATGTGTTGCGGTAAATGAGGGATGCCATGGTGGACCCTCACAGTTAATAGACAAATAGCATGTGATAAGTTGAGAAAAGTTGTATAGGTTTATGGTTGTGTTGTACCCCCTCGCGTGGGTACAACATAACAAGGGATATCTGTCAAGGGAGGACTGGGAGGGCTGGCTTGTCACTGCGGTGACACCTGAGCTCCAGTCAGGATTTGAGGAGGAGATCTCCACCACTGGGCAGTGAAGGAGGGGTTGATGGACAGAACTTTGGGAGGGGTTAAAGGGTTAAAAAGGAAAAACCTCCATTGTAGGGGCCTGAACACATGGTGGGGAAAATCTTTTGCTCCCAGTGCCGTAACCTTTTTTCTTCATTCAGCCTTCTGCTGCATTTTTGGTAAGGTTTAATAGACCTTCCTAAGCTATGAAAAGTGAGTAGCTATTTCTCACAATATGATGCTTGTATCCCAGCTGTGTGTTCTGTTAATGGTTGTTCTTTTTTTTTGTTGCAGTGGTGGTTGTTCTGGGAGCGGTGGTGAGAAGCAGCAGCACGGAGTTTGTTATCAGAGGCTGCACTCACTGCTCTAAAAGCAGCGCTGCTCCACATTCTGAGCTGCACTGTGCTGTCTGGGCACTGACAGAGCAGAACAGAGCACTCCTTTGCTGTTCAGTTCCTTTAGCTGGCTGAGGCAGAGTTTTCCCTGGACTGTTCATTTTTATTTCCCTTTTCTTGGCACTGTTCAAACCTGCTCTGGTCTGGGACCTGGGGAGCACCGAGAGCTTGCACTTGGTGGCCTCAGGGCTCCTCTGGGCAGCAGCCTTTCCCAGAGCCACAGGGACTGATAACAGAGTGTGAAAAGTGCATATGCTGTGGCTCCACGCAGATGTTTACTGTATGTGTTTTGTTGTAGTGATTAGCAGTGCTGTGTTAACATTTTAGTAGGATGGAAAATGTAGTTTTGTAGGGAAATGGTAACTTTTGTAGTTAAAATAGGAACTATGTAAGTGGGATATTTTTTGAAGAAAGGAATGAGGCACTTGCACCAGATAGCAGCCACAGGACACCTTAATCTTTCAGAGAAAAATAATTTATTGCTCCATTATCAGAAGAAGCTGACTTGTTCCCGAAAGACGTACCCAGACCATCTGTAACTCTTTGTTTCTATTGTCTCATATTGTCCTAATCCCAATTATCCGAATTATTATTACTCTAATTATATTACTATTTTTATAACCATTTTATTGCTATTAAACTT